AGTCATTCCTAAAGGAGTGTAAGTTCTCCTTTCCTTGGGAAATGGAGCATCAAGAGCTATAATTTCATTGAGATCAACCTGGCTTACATTGTTAGTAGTATTTTCAGGCTTAGAAGACAAAGAAGAAGGATGGCCGCTCTTCTTGTTTTTCCAAGTATTATCGTTATTACTACCAGCAATCTTTGATGCCAATATCGTATACAGCTTTGAAAGTGTTCAATGGCAGGAATTTGAGATGTTGTCTGTACTTGTGAGTCAAATTTTGAATTAAGAGACGAACCATCTCTTTTTTCCTTTGGTGGCTCAACCATTTGCGCATCTGTTTCTCTCCACCTACTTAGATAGGCAGTAAACCCTTCATTTTCTTTCTGCTTAAGGATAGAAAGCTCACGTTCGGAAGTCTTGGTTTGAATGTTACACTTGTAACGATTCATGAAACTTTCAATGACATCTTGCCAAGTTGCAGTGTACTTGGCATCTAGAGAATAAAACCATTGTTGGAAAGCATGCTCTAAAGAGAGAGGAAACACCGTAGGGAAGAGTGCCACATCTAATCCCTTAAGAGCCATGGTTGCAGTGAAGGCCTTCAAATGGAATATTGGATTTTCAGTAGGTTTGAACTTGGGTATGTCAGAAGTGGAGAACTTTTCAAGAAGCTTGTCCTTCACAGCCAAAGCAGTGGAAGTTTTTTCCACGTAGGTGAACACTTCAGAAATTTTTCTCACTTGTTCTTTGATCTTGTCAACTATAGCAACAGGACTTTGGTTTGTTCCATGGTATTGACCTTGGTGGTAAGGGTTTGCATCATGGCAGAGAGTGCCTCGATGGACTTGTGAATTCTCTCAAGATCTTCTTTAGTGGCCATTGGAATGAGTTGAAAGTAGACTAGAGATGGTGATGGAGATGATCTTTTTGGAGACGATGGTGGTTTCCTTGCACGCCTCTTAGGTTTAAGAGGTTGTTGTGGTAGCGACTCAAACCGCACCAATCTACCCCTGCTCCTTAAACAAGTATTGTGAAATAAAACAAATTCACTTAATGGTTTGACTCACTACTCAAAATGGGAAAGAAAGGGGGAAAGATAGAAGTTTGAAAACTGATGAGAAGAACTCCACTCATTTTTTATTATGACGGAAAAGGGAGACACATGCATGAACCTAGTATACGATCATAAACGACATGGTGCACGACTCGTGTCGAAAAATAAAGTGTGTGGACTATACTTGACTCGTGAATGATTAAGTAATGTTATATGACTCGTGGTATGATCACATGGCTAGACATGTAAACATTAACAAAACGACTGACGCGAAGACCAAAATAGCACGGAAGACCAAAATATGGGCTGACTGGACTTGAACCTGTGTACTGTGGCACGGTACTACTGTCGTGACACGGAAAATTGTATCATTGTGCGGTACAGGTTGCCGTGACACGGCGCTGATTGCCGCGGCTCGGCAATATTGCCGTGGAACGAGGCTCTTTTGTGCATTCTTTATAGTTTTTTTTTGTCAATTTTAAATTTTGCACTAATTACTAAGTGAGTATGGTCCATTGGCATTCGTTAGTCATAAAAAAAGTAAACCACAAAGAACGATTGTTAAGGTTAGAATTAAAACAATCAAGTATGCACACATAGGGCATGTAGTCATGATGATGCAATGAAGTTCGCAACCTAAGGTCAAGTTCTATGTTCCACTATGGTCAAGTTTTACTTGGGTGTCAAAAGGGTACCATGGTTAAGAGTTTAGACGCGTTAGCAAGACAGCCTCCCTTGAGGGTGTATGCTAACGGGCGGCTCCACAAGTTCGTGATAAATCGAACTCGACTCCATGGTTTAATTTGGGTGGATTTAATAACTCGGATGAACCCTTATTGTCATGAACGTTTTCAGGTTGATAGAGCTTAAATCCCCCAAAGCTAAGACGTATGTAGAACACATACGATTTTTCAGAAAAAACGAAGGAAGCTAATAACGAGAAAAAGGCAGAACCACTGAAAGAATTTCAAGAGCGCCGTGCCACGGTACAAAATACCGTGTCATAGTATTCTGCGCCATGTCATGGCAATCCTGCCGTTGCGCGGTGCTCAGAAAAGTTTTTGAAGTACCTCTGCTTTTTCGACCGCAATCAGGTTAATCGATTTTTCCTACGAGGCGAACCTAAATACAACGTTAAAACGTCAATGCATATGCAAAAATGCCACATTAATCACAGGAATACAATTCCATAATCTTTCAGGTCTCTTTCACTCATCTTAATTAAATACCGATCACTCAAATCAATTAATAACCAAGAATCCTCCCCGGTGGAGTCGCCAAATTGTAGGCGTCGTTTGAAGTGCGCCTACCTAAGCATGGTGTGAATTTGCTTGGCACTCATAGGAAGAAGGAATTGACATACGATTAGGGGGAAGATTAGGGACAAAACAAAGTAGGGAGCCGCCAACAAGTTTTTAAGGAACTTGTAAACCGTTCACGGATCATTTAAGGCAACCATGAATAAGGGACAACAATAGGCAACAACGATTGAGCCGTGAAGGTTACACCCCATTCATAATCCATGAAATTACTAACTCCATATGGTTCGGAACCACTAAAGGAGGATCGAGGATGATGGTATGAAGTGAGTCATGGAGTCACATTCGCCCGTATTGGCCTCTACTCGATTCTTATTACGAAAGGTATTTTCTGCGATCTCAAAGGCATACAAACAAAGATTCAATTTGCTCCAAACTAATATTAAGCTAAATTGGTTGAATGTTAATGCAACATATAATTCTATGTGACCACTTGATTAAACAACAAGATTAAAAAGGAACCTAAACCCGTAGTCCAAATTATCTTATTCATCGTTATATTCAATTACATATTCCCTTTTACATGCAAAATGGTAATCAATAAATATAATAAAATCAACATTAGCATTGGAAGCAATTTAACCATACAAAATGACGATTAGTATATGAAAAACATAATAAAAATTGTTAGAAATATAATAGGAACAAAAGGAACATGATTCCTTACTTTGATTGCTTTTACTTGCAACTATAAAATAGTAAACACATTAGTAACTTCAAGGAAAATAATAAACAATAATTAAATTAAAATAAAATAAAGTAGAGTTGATTTGGGGCCAAACCCTCAATCAGTTATACCTTTCACGCCTTGGTTTAAGTTTAGCGGGAAAAGTATGGACTCCGGGGTGTGCTTAGGGAATGTATTGTGAAAGAATAAGGGAGGCAAGTGTTTAGGCTAAAGCATAAGAGAGAGAGAATTATTTGGTGCCCCGAAACTGAGAAATCAGCCTCGTATTTATAGAGGAAATGAGAGGGGTGAGGTCCGGAACCCTAGAATGGAAGCGCTGCGGAGAAATTAAACCTAGAAATTGCCGTGACGCGGAAAAAACTGCCGCGGAGCTGTAGAAATTGTCGTTGCGCGGCAGATATTTCTATGGCGCAACGTTTGTGTTTTCTGGAATTTCGTCTGAGTTCATTTTTATCTTTTATTTTGCATTAAGTACGGGATAATTTAAGCGTCGTTTCAGTGTTCCGGACTTATTTCAGGTTTAGGGTTTTAATATTTATTATTCGGGCTTAATTAATAAATGAAATGAAATGAATTAAAAGGGTTTGGGCCGAAATGGGGGTTGGACTATGCTTGAATAAACATTTGGACTGAAAATGTGGACTGATTTGTTGACTGTGTTTGATTGAATATGGATGTTAAGCACTTCCGAGATTATATACTTGACTTGACCAATAATGGCGGTGAAAGGTCGTTCATCATCGTGTTTGGTTTTTGGGAGACGTATGTTTTGTTTGGATGGATTGGATAAGGTGGATTAAATGAAAATGGGATAGGAGTTCAAGCAATTCTTGCAATTTGATCAATTGGCGGTAAAAGGTTAATCATCACCCGGTTTGGGTGATAGTGAGTGATAGCTCAACTGGTCAGAGCTCCGCTCCTAATTCCAGGGATCTTGGGATCGATTCTCATCACCTGCCCTTATGGCTCTCTAAATACCAAAAATCACCCAATTTGGTTTGTGGAGACACATTTAGTTGTCTACAGTTCCCACTCTCTCTTACTTTATCATTTCTCACTTCTTCAATGTCCCCACTCCTTCTGACATCCCTTTTCTTTTCAATAAAATAATACCCCCCACTATCTTTTCTTACAATTCTTTTTTTTATCTTCATATCAATCTCACTAACATTTTATTTTATTAAAGTCAATAAGACCTCCATCAGAAAACTCTATGTCGGTCAGACGTGTCATTTAAAAAAAATGGAGGGTGTATTAATACTTGTACACCCTTTGTGTTTTAATAAGGTTACACTTTGACCAAACCCACATGCCGAGACACGACTTTGACCAAACACCCATGTCGAGACAAGAGTTTGACCATTATTTTATCTAATTATATATTAGTAAAATAATAAGAAAATTAATATTATGAAAGTATACATTATCACAAATCCAACAATGTATTATGCAATAAAATTTGTTTTTTTTTTATATATTAGTAAATTAGTTTTTTTATATATTAGTAAATTACTCAAGTCAAAACCATTATATAAATTATAAAAAAAATCAAAAGTGTAAAATTTATTTACACACGGAGCCAGTATCTAAGATCTGAATCAAATTTCATCGAAATGAATTGTTTGATTCAAACCAAAGATAGATAAAATAAAACTATATGAATAAGGTCAAAAACATGCGCTAGTTTGTTAAAGAATAATAAGGCCAACTAACGACAATCCAATACCAAAATTTTGGTTAGTGATTTGAATACTCATGGGTTTGGATTTGATCCTTAAAGAGAGGCGGAGTTACAATAGGTAAGGTTTGGCCCACTAACATTGAGTATGTGGAAACCAATAAGATTTGACAGAAGGGAAAAGAATAAGAAATGGGTGGAGAAAATAAGCAAGCCAACAAAATCACAACCATACGTTAATTGAGAGGCTATCAATAATCTTATCTTCTGTTATTTTTCTTTATGGCTTGTAATATGACTTCTCTTATGAACATTACAACATCATCTTATTCTATTTCTACTTCTATTGCTTCACTGCTCTTGTCTAAATTGTTGCTGCTAGGAGAAGAGCATGGCTTCCAACATGCTCTCCATTGCCAATCCGTCTCTCCGGGTTATTAATTCTTTTTAATCTTTCGTTTTTCGTTACCTATTTAATAATATAAGACAAGTTAGCTAGCTCATTGTTTATCGATGATACTTTAGACGATCAACAACGAAAACATAATGCTGGTGATCAATGTCTATGTATCATCGGTTACAATGAGTGTCACATACTAGTTGAAGTGTCGCAGTGTGACATTATACATTTATAAGATGTAACACTTTGATTAAGTCGATACAATGACTTAAATTATAATATTTTTTTCTTTTTGATATGGTATGACAGGTTTACAACAAGGGATTCTCTGAATTTGCTGGTCTACACACTTCATCTCTTCCCTTTGCTCGCAAGGGTTCTGATGATTTGGTCGCTTTAGTGGCCTTCCAGACTAATGCCGTAAGTTTTCTTTCTTTTTTGTAGGCAAGTACGTACTATGTATGTAACAAACTAACAGTTGCATTAGGGAATTTTTATTCTGGAATCTAATCGTGCACAAAAGCAAAAGTACAACTTTCTTTAATTCTTGCTGTTTTAAAAGTTAATTTTTGATTTACTAGTGGAAGATTAGTTAGCTAGTGTGATTGTTTACATATTCCCTCGGTTCAACAATGTTCTACTCAGGTATTATAAATGTGAAAAATTTTAACCGAAATTTTGTAATTATATACTGTATAGTATATTAAAAAATACGCATTGAAGGCCACATAAAAGACAAATAAAAAAAATTTCATGAAACGAAAGAAGTAAATACATTGTTTAATTTGTTTCTTTATTAATGTGTGAATAATATGATACATTTAACTAGAACCATTTGAACTTTAATGTCACATAAGTTTAAATTATATTGTCAACTATCAACTTGACTATTGTTTCAAAACAAGAAAGGGCTAATTTATCAACTAGATAATCAGAAAATATAAATCAAATGACAGTTTTTGTAAATAAGTTAACAACTTTACCCAATTAGCATGACATTTTTCATAATAGATCAACAAGTGTGAGGATCACGATTAATAGAAAGTTGTTGACTTACTTACAAAATTATCACTTAATTTGTATTTTTGGTTTATCTTATTGATGAAGTTTAGTTTTTTCTTTTGAAACATACATAAGGTATATATTTCAAGGTTTTAAATTAAAGTAACACAACTTTTCTTGATTAGTGACATTTAACACTTCTATAGTCCGACTATCCTTTTCTTCTTAAGTTTTATTCACTTTTACTATTCTAGTTTCGTCAACCTTTTATTCATATTTTTATCAACTCCCTCTTTACTTAGTGGGACCCAAATATATTTGATAATTACTCTCTATCGCTCTCTTTGTATATGAGTGGTACATAATCGTGAATGACAACTAATTAAGTTAATTAAAGTCATGGGGTGGTACTTTGGGATTGAGACTTATACACATCATGTCGTTTGTGGCTCTCTTTGAATCTTTGCTCCAAATTTCAAGTGCAATATTATTATTTTATGATGTATGTAACGTATTAATGATAGAGGGATAATTAGTTCTATTTCCCCTGTTCAAGTTAACAATCATATAGGAGAGTATTATGCTACATACATTGCCAAGGCTAAATAGCATAAATTTTGGGTTAAAAAAAACCTGAATCCAAGTCTTCTTGCATTCTTAGCTAACAAGTTGAAATGTTTCATGCATTGTTATTAGGTTGGTGGAAACAGAAGTAGCCAGAAAGGTGTTGTTGAGGCAAAACTCAAGGTAGCAATCAATGGATTCGGAAGGATTGGAAGGAACTTTCTAAGGTGTTGGCACGGTAGGAAGGACTCTCCCCTTGATGTCGTAGTCATCAACGACACCGGAGGTGTGAAACAAGCTTCCCACCTCCTCAAGTACGACTCCATCCTTGGCACATTCGACGCTGATGTTAAGCCATCTGGGGACAATGCCATCTCTGTTGACGGCAAACTCATCCAAGTTGTTTCTGACAGAAACCCTTCAAACCTACCTTGGGGGTTAGTGTTCACTCTACATTATAAAACAATCTTTCCTGTATGTTATAGTACTTTGTTTCCCCTGTTTGTTGATCAAATTATTTTTACTTATACCTGTCTATTTTTTGATTAAAACGATTTTCATTGATCATTGAAAAGGCGGCCTTAGGACTTTTTGTTTATGATCATTGCAAAACATACACTGTTTGGGTATGAGCCTTCGACGTTCTGATATTGACAAAAGCAGAGTTACTGATGTATTATCTCAGATTTAATTGCAACATTTCTGTTGCCATTACTGATGTACATTGCATAAATGTTGGTTATATTGTGTGGTGCAGGGACTTGGGCATTGACTTGGTTATCGAGGGTACAGGTGTGTTCGTAGACAGGGAGGGTGCAGGGAAGCACTTACAAGCAGGGGCAAAGAAGGTGTTGATTACAGCCCCTGGAAAGGGAGACATACCAACCTATGTTGTAGGTGTCAACGAGGAAGGTTACAGTCATTCAGACACCATCATCAGTAACGCTTCCTGTACCACTAACTGCTTGGCTCCCTTTGTTAAGGTTCTCGACCAGAAATTTGGTACGTATATTCATTCATTCACCCTATCAACTCTTGAAGGCCTTTTCCTAATAGACAATGACTACTTTTCAAAGATAGCTCTATTACATATTATGTGCTATTTTTGGTATTATTTGTGAGATATAAAAAATTCAAAAATTGCACATAATATGTAACGGAGGTAGTAATTACTATGATCATTGTTATAGATGTTATTCATGTTAATCTCTATAAATATATACATTTGACAGGCATCATCAAGGGAACCATGACCACCACCCACTCCTACACTGGAGACCAAAGACTCCTCGATGCTAGCCACAGGGATCTAAGACGTGCAAGAGCAGCAGCCTTGAACATCGTCCCAACATCAACTGGTGCAGCCAAGGCTGTTGCCTTAGTCCTCCCTAGTCTCAAAGGCAAGCTTAACGGAATTGCTCTTCGTGTTCCTACCCCCAACGTCTCTGTGGTAGACCTTGTCGTCCAAGTCACCAAGAAAACCTTCGCTGAAGAAGTTAATGCTGCCTTCAGAGAGTCTGCTGACAACGAACTCAAAGGCATTCTGTCAGTCTGTGATGAGCCTCTGGTGTCTGTTGACTTCAGATGCACCGACGTTTCTTCTACTGTCGATTCTTCCTTGACCATGGTTATGGGAGATGATATGGTGAAAGTTATCGCATGGTATGATAATGAATGGGGTTACTCTCAAAGAGTTGTTGATCTAGCTGACATTGTTGCTAACAAGTGGCAGTAATTGATCATTTGCTAAACAAAACAAACTCACTCTCTTTGCCTCATTGATCATGCTTAGTAAAATGATCACCAATTTTCCCATGTTGTTAGTAATTGTTTTCTTCTTTTTGTAATAAGAGATCTTTTCTAAACTTGTATAGGACAGAATTCAAGTATTCGTGCATATAAACTAATTATTATGTGGGAGAAACAAATTAATTCCTTGGCCTTGTGGAAGATGGGTTATTGCTTTATATCAATGTTCTTGACTTCTTGGTAAATAGACTGCCCTTTCTTATCCTGCATTTTAAGAATTTGTCCTTATTTACCGAACTATCATGCTGTTGTGTTGTTTAGAAAACAATAAAAATGACATACAAGAGACACTAGAATATGAATGATCACTCAATAAGTCAATAGTCCCTTTTATACATATTACATACGAAGTATATTTTATTTTTTGACATGAGCTTAACCAAACAAAACAAAAATAAAAAAAACATCAAAGTTGCTTGCTTGAAAGAGACAGAGATGTATGTAAAGTTATGAATATCAAACACCGTGTAAATTAGACTTTGAACACTTTCATTCGGATCACTATAAACTTCTCCCCTGCAACCACGGGCTCAGTTTAGCCATGAGAAAGTGAAAAACTGTGCGTTTTGTATGAGCTTTCATCCATTCTAAGGCAGCTATATGTATAACAACATCGATATTAAATTAATAACATGATGCATTAGCCTTGTGTAGATTGCTAAAATGTGGCAACTAATTTGACATCACAAGTTAACAATACATGATTAGCTCATTCACCATTACTTAACAGTCTATGCCACGATATAAGAGTATAATTGTGTTTGATTAATGTGGAACAAGTAAGTGTAAAATAAGAACGAGAAAAGCAATAAAGAAAATAAACAAAGAACACAAGGATTTATGTGCTTCGGTCAAATTAGACTTACATCCACGGGTAAATGGACTTGAGAGCTTTTTCACTATAATGGAGAAAGAACAAGAGAATAACACAAGAAATCCTAGATCTTAATGGCTCAAATTAAAAAAGGTGTGATCTATTTGATCACCTAAAGAGTCCTTTTATAATACAAGGAGATCCTAATAAAGCCCTAAATTGTTCCCCAAGTATATCTTAATAACTAGCCGTCATAAAGAGAAATTAAATTTTTAAGAAAATCCTTTACACGGACTACATGGTCGTGTGATGAACCACACGGCCGTGTAAATTGCTAAGTAGTAGCGTAGCGGTCATGTATCATGAGCTCCATGGCCGTTTATGTACTTGGTCACCAATTCAAGGTACATTCCAATAGTCTAATTATAAAAAAAAAAAAACTATCCCAAAGCATTCGGTATGATATAGTGTCATTACAACATAGTGTAATTACAACATTTTTCAAGAAAATTTGTCTGAGTGGTCCTTTTAAGTGGTCCACTTTGTGGTAAAGGCCCTTTAAATTTATAAAAAAAAGTGACAATAAAGATCATTTTATCCCACTTAGGTGGTGAAGAGGTTTCTTTGACCGGATTCCAGTCATTTATTTTGTTTTTCAGCAAAAAAAAATTACGTGTATATGTCTTATACGTGACCTCTTAAAAATGATTTTAAACTTTTTACCTTCTGTTTTTCCTTTTCCTTACAACTGAACTTAATTTCCTATTCATCCTTCCTCTCTTCGAATCCTAATACTCAAGAAGTAACAACAAACTTCGATCTTAATCCCTCTCATTATAATTAAAGGCAATTCGAAACATCTCAAATGAAAACCCCTTTTGTTAATTATATGAATTTATTTATTACTGTTGATTCATTGCATTTTCAATTTCGAGATTTGAAATTTGGATTTTCAAATGTTTCCTTATAATTGCACCATGTTACCCCAATATAGGGGTGGGACTTTTCAAACCGAACCGTGAAACCGCCTGTTACCGAACCGAACCATCACGGACCGATCCATTTATAAACCGATAAATACAAACCGAAAACCGAACTGAACCGTTCAATATCAAACCGAAACCGAATTGAACCGCTCAATGTCAACCCGTTACGGACCGTAAACCGATAACAAACCAAACTGCGCAAATCCGAACCGAAACGAAACCGAACCGAATGGTTTATAAACCCGTTAATGACCCGAACCGTTTATAAACCGAAACCGTTTAAACCGAAAAAAAAAATCGTTTAAAACGAACCATTTGTAACCCGCTAACCGTTTAAACCGACCCGTTTATGAACCGAAACCGTTTGAACCGCACGTATAAACCGAACCGTTATAATCCGCTAACCGTCTAAACTGAACTGCCATAATCCGTTAAACCGTTAAAATCGAACTGTTTTCGAATCGCAACCTGTTTAAACTGATCCGATTACAAACTGCTTAATTCAAACTGAATTATTTACAACCTAAATGGCTAAATAGTAAATACAATTAATGTTAATAAATGTAGATCTAATCAAACGGCTTAGGTTTATACAAAGGTTTATATCACCTAGATCTAGGCCAACGACATTATTAATATCGTTTTAGATTACTTATTTATTTTAATTACAAGATATATCATTTGTATAATTGTATCATTTTCATTCCAGTAATAATGCTAGTCCACCCAAATTATCTTCATTGTTCCTTGATATTCATGATCATCTAATAACACTCAAAGCCTCAAAGGTAACATAAGATTGGAGATGTATGAGATTGCGTTACACAAGTGGCATAAGCATTAGAATATTATTGTACTAGTCAATAAGGCGTACAATCATTCACATTATCACTTTATAAAACTTTCTTATACAAGTATTTTGTAAAGGGGAGGACTAAAATGTTTATAAAACACATTTTTTTAGCTTTTCTTAAATTAAACCAGATATATTAAGTAAAAGAATTTTAATAAATACGGAGGCATCCCAAATCTGTAGCCACAATTATTTCATAACATTTCCACAAATCCAGCAGATAAATAGCATTAAAATTAGAGTAATATCAACAAGCAATTAAAAAAAGTCACCATTTTCATTGATTAAAATTCACAATACATATACCAATACATAATGAAACTACTATCACTACTACCCAGATTAGATTTCAGATTTATCAACTGAAATATCATCAAGTTTAGGGTTGCAAAAAATGATACATGATAAGATGAAGGGAGGAGTGAGAATGTGAGTGATTTGGGAGCAGAATCTTGAAGCAGCAGCACAGCACCCAAGAGCAGAGGAAATAGCAGCAACAAGCAGGAACCAGCACACGCAATAACAGATCAGCAACTTATCAGAAGCAAGGAATAATATAAGCAGAAGGGACTCAGCAGGGGTCTTTAAAGGCTTGAGTAATAGCGTACTCAATTTTTAAAACACTAACAAAATACAAATTAGAAGTGGGATATTCGGTACCAGAAAATAACACAGTTATATCATTAAATGGCTGAAGGAAATCACAGATTTTTTGAATGGTATCCCATTCATCAGCATCAAGTCTATAAGAAATACCCAAAAACCTACTAGTATATAGAATCAAGGCATCCTTAGCTTCTAAGGCTTTTCGGAGCATTGTATAAGTGACATTCCAACGAGTCACAACATCAAGACATAACTTGCCATTAAAAGCAGAGTCTAACTCAGACAAAGCATTCTCAAATTGAGTTAATCTAGAATCAGAAGCATCAATATATTTAACAACCTCACGCAATTTTTCAACACTTTCATGAACTTCTTTTAAACCTCTTTGAACAATAAGATTTAAAACATGAGCTGAACATCGAACATGAAAGAATTTCTCATTACAAGGAAGAGGAGAGCATTGCATTAATTCTTTTTTCAAATATTCAACCATAACATCCATAGAACGAGCATTATCAACGGTCATTGAAAAAGCCATACCTTGAAGGTTCCACTCTTTAATCAGTTTAAACACAAACTTTCCAACCTCAACACCAGTATGGGGAGGGCAACAATATCTAAAATTTAAAATTTTAGACCTAAGAGACCAACTGTTATCAACATAATGAGCAGTCAAAGTGAGATAGCCTCGGTTAGTACATGCAGTCCACAAGTCACATGTAAAGCTAACTCTACCAGAAACATTAGCCAAAGACTCATGCAACAAGGATTTATATTTATCATGCTCAGCAATAACATAATTTAACATAGTTTTTCTACAAACATGTTGCACCTTAGGATTCAAATATGCATGAAGTTCCCTAAGGTATTCATGCTCTACAATATTTAAAGGATATGCATGGCAGATTATAGCTTTAGCAAACTTTTGTAAATAAGTTTTTTGATCAAATTGTGATTCGTTACCGGACTGGAGACCATGCTTTTCCAAACATGCATTAATATGAGCTCTACAAGTTGAAGTACCCGCTTTACGAGGTGCTTTATATTCTTTGCCACACAAATTACAACGAGCATAATCTACCTTTTCATTACCTATCGTCTTTACAAAAAAAAGTGTAATGCTTCCATATACCTGCGGTTCTTTGACGTTTATTAACAGAAGGATTGATAGTGCCGATATTACTAGCATCATCAAGCGGGACAGAGGCAGCTTGAGAGCTAATAGTATCAAAATTTGATTGCCTCTCATAGTCAAATTCATCATACTCGCGAGACATGACTGAAACAAAAAAAACAGCATTTATAAGTACCAAATTAAGTGACGGATTCTACTAATAGTGAGCAATTAAGCATGCATTGTCTCATGTGACTGACATATGTGTACATTTTAAGTACTAACTTTAAGCCAATCATACAAGTATACATTTTAAGTACATACAAGTATACTAACTTTAAGTATTAACTTTAAGCCAATCAGACAAGTATACATTTCACTGGACTTTCCTGAGGTAATGGTAACAAACTAATAGAGGCCTCAGAAAAACTAGGCCCATTTAATAAATGTTGGACTTGGGCAGAATGTAAAAAGTATGATATTAGGCACAAATGCACAATTATTTTATAGTCCATTACTTGGAGTTTAGTTTCCAAAAAAAAAAAAAAAAACACACACACACACACAAAAACTAAATTTGAACAAAAAAAAAATCCTCATATCATACTTCCCACAAACAATTCTTGGATTAAATTGGGATTTGGGACATAAATACACAACATAACACTAACTAAAACTACATGTTACATTGAATTATAATATATGCTTTTTTTTATACAAGTATCATATAGTATAAACCATAAAAACCCCCATCAAATTCATATACTCAACATCATGATCATATACACAGAAAAATAAAATTTCACAAAAAAAAAGCACAAAATAACGAAATATACATTGCAGAACAATTAATGAACAAAAGATCGAAACTTAGAATAAGAATAAAAAAAATACCTTATACCGTGAGTAGAATATGACAGATCTACAAAAAAAAAGAAAAAAAAAATTAAAACTTCAAAAAAAAAAAGCACAAATTAATTAATTATACATAGCAAAAGAAAAAAGAAAAAATACCTTATACGGTTATACACTTATACCGTGAGTATAGTATGACAGATCTACAAAAAAAAAAGAAAAAAAAAATTAAAACTTAAAAAAAAAAGCACAAATTAATTAATTATACATAGCAAAAGAAAAAAAGAAAAAATACCTTATACGGTTATACCGTGAGTAACTGAGTATAGTATGACAGATCTACAAAAAAAAATAAGAAAAAAAAAGATAAAACTTCAAAAAAAAAGCACAAATTAATTAATTATACATAGCAAAAGAAAAAATACCTTATACGGTTATACCGTGAGTATAGTATGACAGGTCTACAAAAACAAAAAAAAAACAAAAAAAAATTAAATCTTCAAAACAAAAAAAAAAGCACAAATTAATTAATTATACATTGCAAAAGAAAAAAGAAAAACTACCTTATACCGTGAGAGAATAAGACAGATCTACACAAAAAAAAATAAAAAAAAAAATTAAAACTTCAAATAAAAAAGAACAAATTAATCAATTACATAAATTGCAAAAGAAAACAGAAAAAATACCTTACCGTTCGCCAATAAGGAGATTCAGATGCAGAGAGATGATGAAGAGGGAGATTCAGAGGTGTGAGAAAGTTAGGAGATTCAGAGGCGTTAGGAGAGAGAGAGATGGAAAGGAGCAAGTTAGGAGAGAGAGAGAGAGCCGTTTAGATTATGATGAAATGATCAAATGAGGCGTGCTACTGCTGTTGTTAGGTTTAGGTTAGGTTAAAACTTCTTCCCCTAATCTAACCGTCCATTTCCAATCTCAATATCTCACCGTTCATTTCAATTTTATTTTTTTTGGTAGTAATTAAGGATCTAGAATCTTCATACATCCAACGGTCTTGTTTTGTTTTGTTCTTTTCGAGGTCTTTTTGACCGTTTATTATTATTTTATTTAATTATTTTTTTTTTGATACTACCGTTCATTTTTTTAAACATATTAAATATTATTGTTAATTATTTATTTTTATTATTATTATTTTGAATTTTTGACTTTTGAGGTTTTATTATTATTATTATTATTTTTATTATTATTGTTATTAATAATGTTATTTTTATTAATATTGTTATTTTTATTATTATTGTTATTATTATTATTATTGTTAGTATAATTTTTTGTTAATATTATTATTATTACAATACTACTACTATTAATCTATTATTACTGTAAGTAATTTATTACTTATAAATTGTAAGAAACGCAAATGTTTCAAAATTGAAATTGATTCATTACGAGTTTACGACATAGTTAATGTACATCAATATCTATCATCTCTATATGTATATAATTAATCAACTATATATTAATATATATGATCGGTTTAGGGTTTAGGGTTTTAAGTTTTTTGGGTGGTTAGATTTTACATCATGCATCAAATCATCCTAATATAGTAAGTTTTTTTGGGTCCGATGTCTGAATGAGTTTAGTTAGAGCATTACAAAAGATTTCGACAATGAACGAATGATTTTTTGTACAGATGCTGTTATCTTTCATGTTTAACCGTTAACTAAACAATAGCCGAAACTATTCTCAATGTACGTAGCATGTCTGTTGCCATGAAAAATATATTTAATTTGATATTGATCCGACCATACTAGCTAGTTTGCTATTATATACATTTAATTTGGCAATATTGTTAGTAGATTTGATATACCGCACGCTATCAAGTTGACTGTGAATAGAATCTAAATTATCTAATGTATGTCATTGTGGTTCGACCTACTTGATCAAACTCATAATTAAACTGAACATCCTCTTTAAGTTTAACCGGTAAACATAAATCATTATATATGTGAGTATGTGACTTTAAATGTAATAAACTAATTAATAAGACTAGTAACTAATAAGTAATAAACTAATAACTAATAAAGTAATGAAATCTAACCATTGTTTTTCATGGGCATTCAATTTAATTGTTATGTATTTGACTATTTGTACATTAGTATTGCATAATGATTTCATCACCACTTTAGTGATTTTGTGATTTCGTCCATTTAACTTACTAAGTTGTTTGAGTTAGTAATCTAAACAAAGTAACAAACTAAATAAGTAAATAACTAATCCATTTAATCTCGTTTAACTTATAAGTTATAAGAAATGCAAAGTTTGGAAATTGAAATTGATTCAATACGACATTGTTAATGCATATCAGTATATGTATTATGTATATGAGTATATCATATGGTACGAATGTACGATTGGTATCATACTATCATTGTCTCGTTGAATCGTTGGTATCATGGTATGTACGTATAACGGTATAAACCGTATAATCGATAAACATATATGATTATTAAAACTTAAAAGTTTAAAACACTTGTTGATTGATCTAATTGAATACTTGTACATTCTTAATTATCAATTTATCGTATTCTAAGTATCAACTCATTAAATCATGGTCATGACGCGATCTTTAAAACAATCATGAATTCATGACCCAGACAGCTTATAAACCGAACCGGCATGATCCAAACCGTTCATAAACCGAACCAATTGGATTGTGTAAACCCTCCACTAAACCGGCCCATTTCAAACTGAACCGACATGATTCGCACCGTTTATAAACCGAACCGATATTGATCTGGGTAAACCCGCCCCTAAACCGACCCATTTCAAACCAAACTGGTTTGATCCAAACCGTTTGTAAACCGAACTGACATTGACCCGGGTAAACCCGCCGCCTAAACCGACCCGTATCAAACCGAACCGACATGATCCGAATCGTTTATAAACCGATCCGCTTATGACCCAAACCGAATTTAAACCGCAAAGAAATAAACCGAAACCAAACCGAGCCGTGACTAACCCAAACCGAACTAAACCGATCCGACAGCTAAACTAAACCGTTTCAATCCGAACCGCTCCAAACCGAAACCGACTCAAACCGAGGTCAAACCGAACCGCCAGACCGAAGTCCCACCCCTACCCTAATACAATCTAATGAAGATGTGTATTTGTAGGCTTCTAGTTGTAAATATAACTTCGTGGACACTTGAATACCCAGGAAGGAGATTTTTCCTTGCAAGTTCTTCAATTTTTTATTTTATAAGTTGGTAGTACAATAAACAAAAATCATACGAGTATAAAAAACAAAAACAAAAACCTGCAGGCCGGATTTCAAGGTTTAATAATTCAAACAATTACATTTTTTTTTTTTTTTGAAACAATGTTTGTTAATGTAATTGGTTGAATCTATTCAAAAAAAAAAAAAAAAAAAATTACACTAAAAAACATAATTCATAAATTTCTCATCCAATAATAGAGCACTCATACTCTCAGGCAGAAGACTCACTTGTAAATCCACACTACCCAGACCATCACAACCCGGAAAAGCTGTTAGCTTACCATCAGCCCTGTTGGTATACCCGGTCCAAATAGCCACCGGTTTACCAAGCCCGAATTCGGCTCCGGATAAATCAAACCTTGGTGAACCACCTATTACCACAAAATTAGTCCAAAGCGATATGAACCCAGGAGACTCAATTTTAGGACTCTGACCAGAAGATAGCACCAACGCTTCACGCGCTCATTTCTCATTTACAACATCTACCTCATCATGCATCAGCATGGTTGCGTAACTTAGCCCATTTTGTAGCAGTTCACCTGCCTTCGCAGTCGCGATTGCAGGCACGAAACAGTTGGCAAAGTGGTCAGGTGACAAGGGTGGGTCTAAACGAGACCTTATGTTTACTGCGGGCGCAATGCAAACTTTGTTTTTTCATTAGGTGGAATATTTCGAGCTCGGGTGATGCTCTGCCAGATAAACCCACATAAGGCTTTAAAAGATGACAGTTGTTGCCAACTGTTGTTGGCCTCGGCGTTCGCTTTAATCTTGAGTTTTGACATTGTTGCAGCTGACAGGTGGAAGACTCTTTCTCTTAGTTAGTGATCTTTGTCGAATCGGGTTATCAACTTGTTAGGCTCTTTGAATGGGAGTCTGATTGTTGGAAATCCTTCAGAAATTGATGGAGGGAACTTAATCACCGGTTTTCGTAGGATAGCATCTTTTATTCCTTCCCCTGAAACAAATATATTACTACCTTTGTTTTTTTTTTATGTGCAACTTTGAGATGAAATACGGTTCACGAGGCAAAAGATTAAGGGGTAAAGTTTAGAAAAAGTAAGTGGGTTTAATTAAAGTGGAAGGAGAGAGAAAGTGTGGACCACACTTTATTTTTTTGGTGGGAAATTTTGGCAGAAAGTACAATAGCCAATATTTCCCCCCAGAAACCCACCGAAAATTAAAAGGTGGGATTTTTTGGGGTAAAATTTTTGTTTCCCCCCTTTTTTTAAAAATTTCCAGCCAAAGTTATTTTTTTCCAAAATATTTAGGAGGCTACACAAACAGTCATGCCCCCATTTAATACTACCATTCAGCATTTAAGGAGGGAATAAAAGCATCCTCCATTGTCAACCATTAATTACAACCAATATTGTTTGAAGGTGGGTGAAACATTCCACCAAAAACAGAGTTTCTTCCCAAAAGATTAGCATTTCCTACCTAAACCGTTACGGTTTGCATAATTACACACTACCTACTGGTCAAAGCTTTACAAAAACAGGGCTGCTATGCTGTCCTTCCTGCACAGGTGGGTTTAGTGTTCATCTTCAACCCACACAACTCCGCAGAGCCCTGACTCCATCTCCCTGTGCTGGAAAACAGAAATGGCATAAAATGATGACTCTGTTTTTTTTTTATATCGAACACATTCTAAATGAAGAACAGATGGCAGAGTTATGGTTCGAGGAAGAAGAAGAAATGCAGGATGCAGGCATTTGGGAGTACGACTCTGAAGATGAAATCATGGATGGCAACCAAGAAGAACAACAACAGCAACAACAGACAGACACTGATGTTCAACACACACAAATGCAACAGCAAGCTGATGAAGGGACTCATAGTGTATGCAGAAAGCAATTAACATTGCAGCAAAGAAGGAAAATTGTAGATGCACTTTTAGTGAAAATGAACAATGGGACATTACCAAGGGGTCACATGAAGCAATTATCATCTGAATTCAATGTTCACAAATCAACAATCACAAGAATCTTCACAGACATAAAAAGGCAGCTGGCATTAGGGGACTTGATTGATGTCAGGAGTAAAAAAATTGGCAAAACAGGGAGAAAGCCATTGCAAATTTCTGATGAAACTCTCCAGTCAGTCCCACTACATTTAAGGCAGACAGAAAGGAGCTATGCAGGAGCATTGAAGATCAGTCTTAGTACAGTTCACAATTTGAAGAAGAGGGGAAGGCTAAGAACACACACATGCTGCAACAAACCATTGATGACATCAGACCATAAGGTTGTCAGAATAAGATGGATTTTGTCACATATAAATCCAGTTACAGGGAATGAGGACCCCACATTTGTTGACATAAGGAATGTCATACACTGTGATGAGAAATGGTTCTACTTGAACCTTGATAAAAGGAGGTTTTATCTACTGCCAAGTGAGGAGGATCCTTACATGGCAGTTCAGTCAAGAAGATTCAAGCTCAAGGCTATGTTCATGGCAATTATAGGGAAGCCATTATATGGCACAAATGGAGAAATGTTACATGATGGGAAGTATGGCATCTTCCCATTCACTGTCCAACAACTAGCACAGAAATCAAGCAAGAAAAGAGCAAGAGGGACTATGGAAACAAAGGCACTCCAGAAATATAAACAGAGAAGTAATCAGAGAGATGCTGCTAACAAGGGTCATTCCAGCAATCATGTCAAAGTGGCCTGAAAGTCTGGCCAAGGATGTGGTCATCCAATGGGACAATGCAAGGCCTCACCAAGTTCCTACAGATGCTGAGTTTCTAGCAGCAACAACAGCTAATGGCTTTAACATTCAATTTGTTTTCCAGCCAGCACAGTCACCTGACTTGAATGTCCTTGACTTAGGGCTTTTTAGGTCTATACAATATTTGCAATATCAGTCTTTTCCTAGGGACTTAGAGGAGCTGGTTGAAAAGGTCATACAGTCTTATGACACATTCAACCCCGATGTTAACAAGTACATCTGGGTAACATTGCAAAAATGCATGATTAAGATACTCAAGGCAGAAGGTGGTAACAAGTACAAAATACCACATATGAACAAAAAAAGGCTGGAAAACCTTGGCAATCTTCCAGAATTAGTAGAGGTTCAGAAAGAGGTAGTACTGGAGGCTGTGGACTACCTAAACACTATGTTTAGGCCAGCAAATCAAGGCAATGAAGAAGTCAATGAAGATTTGGAGGTGGATGCAGATTAGGGTACTCAATACAAGAACAAGACAACATATGGGCTGCCACACATAACCACTTCTTGTAGTAAGTTTCTTTATTTTGATTTTTCAAAAAATAGTTGAAGAATCAAGTGGTTAGGTGTATTTTGTTCATCACAATTATTCAAACAAGTAAGGCAGCTTGATGTAATGTCTTTAGATTATGATGTGGTCTTTTGTAAAGTTTTATGTTCATTACTCAAAGGTATTGTCTTTTGTACCCACATTTTTAATGGAATATGAATGACAAAGATAGACAATTTATGTGGGCACTCAATCCATCAGAGGGTTATATTGTTGAAAACTACACATATGCACAAGGGTACCTCAACAACAACAGCATTATGCATGTTGATGGAGCAATTCACTTGTGCATAGTGAAATTAAATGGAGTCCCTTCATCATGTGGATATGGGTAAGCTAAATATCATATCAAACTATGGGACTCAATACAAACCAGGAAACACAAGCCAATCACAGGGGAATCCTTTTAAGGGACTAACTAGGCAACAATGAACATGCACAAGACACCAGCCTCATCATTCATCAATCAAGTCCACCCAGCCAACATCAAACATAAGCCAAAATAGACCATGGGAATCAACAAAAACACAATCAACTACACACAGCCAAAATAAAAAATAAGCCAAAACAGTCCGTGCCAGTCAACAACATCACAATCTACTCCAGACAGGCAACATCAACCATAACCCAACATACTCCATGCCAATCAACAACAACACAATGAACTCCACACAGGCAACATCAACCATAACCCGACATACTCCATGCCAATCAACAACAACACAATGAACTCCACACATGCATAGATCAACATAACAAACAATTAAACCCCCAGATGTAACATAACCAACAACCCAACATGCAACCGGATCCAGTCAAACATTCCCACAACAGCAAACCCTAGTATCCAGCATAGATCAATATAACAAACAATTAAACCCTCATATTTAACATAACCAACAACCCAACAATCAACCAGAACCAGTCAAACATTCCCACAACAACAAACCCTAGTATCCAGCATAGATCAACACAACAAACAGTTAAACCCCCAGATTTAACATAACCAACAACCCAACAATCAACCAGAACCATTCAAGCATTCCCACAACAGCAAACCCTACTTTCCGCCATAGATCAACCCAACAAAAATTAGGACTCTTTTTTAATTAAAAACATTAACAAAAATTAGGGTTAGGAATCGTTACGCAAGGGTCAGTGCTCAGCCTCCTCATAAGAGGACAGCACCACGAAGTCGTAGACCGGCAACCCCCTCATACGCCTCAGCGCCACCATTGTCGCCTTCCTACGTGGCCTAATCTTCGGCGGAGGCCTGGAAGCCTTAAATCGGGCCTTGGGGGTGGGCGCAACACTGACCTCCACACTTTTGGAGTCCAGATCTACATCAACGACATCAAAATCAAGTTTTTTTGGGCCATGGGACTCGCCTTCACCCTCAACCCTCTTCTTATCCGCCTCGTCAATATTTTTCAGCACTTCCCCCAATGCCTTGAAGGTGGTCGGAGAACAACAACTTGGGCCATCTTCATGGGTGTACAGGCAACGAGGAAAATCATCGCCTCTGTTTAGATCGTTAATCAGGGACTTGATGTACTTAGCCTCACTTTGGGAGTCGGTGCCAATATAGGCGTCAACTAGTGGATCAAGGTCATTTAAGGCAATTGTGGAGTCTGGATTTCGAACGAAAGGGGAGGGAAAGGGGGATGACATGACTTTGGGACTGTGGATTTTGAAGGAAAGGACGAAGGACACGAAGAAGACCAAGAACACAACGAAGACGAAGAAACTGATCTAGGGTTCTAAAGAACTCTCTAGATCAGTTTAATAAAGGTGGTTGGGAAGATAAGGTAATTGTGTCCGTTGGGAGGAGTAAATGGAGGGAGTAATTAGGTTAGTCTAATTTAGGGGGTTTAATTATAAGTGAGGATTATGGGTAATGAGGGGTAAAAGTAAGAAGGTTATAATTTTTAATGAAGGGTAATATAGTAATTTAAAGGGTTTTTGTTTACCCAAAATAAAATGAAAAAAGAAAGTTGCACATAATAGTGAACGGACTAAAATGGCAAAAGTTGCACATAAAAAAAAAACGGAGGTAGTAGATAACATGTTAAGAAAATGAGAGAAAGATGTACCGTCAACTACACAATGGTTAATGCAACATCCGATAAACAACGCCCTTGTTTGGCCGTCGTGATTGGCTTGTCTCTCGCCAAGATCAAAAAATGACTGGATCACTAGTGGGACACACTAGGCGAAAAACATAAATAGGCGCCGGTTCAAACCACCTAATGGGCGCCGGTTTTGAACCGTTGAGTATTTAAGGGATGCCAAATCTCTAAAGATTTGGCACCGGTTCAAAACCGGTGGCTATTTAAAGATTTGGCACCGGTTAACCGGTGCTAAATACACTCTTTGGCACCGGTTATTGGCACCGGTTAACCGGTGCCAATACCCATGGCGTGCTTTTTTTTTATTTTTTATTTTTATTTGTTATTTCAGTACAATAGGCACCGGTTTGAAGCCTGAACCGGTGCCTTTAATTGTGTTTTTTTTCCGACAATAAATAATAATATTAATACTAATACTAATAATAATAATGAGAACTTGTACATCTTGCATTAATTCTACAAATATTATATAACAATAACGATAATAATAATAATTATTATTATAATATTATAATTAATAATAATAATAATAATAATTTGTAAATTGGAATAATAACAATACATAGATATTAATTAATTATCTCAAATGCAATACTATTTACAAACAATACTAATTTAAAAAAAAAGTGTCATAATTACAAACAATACTAATCAATAATGTAGTTAACAAGTTCAAATAGAAATGATATTTACAAGTTAAATGTGATGAAGGACGCCAACATGTCTCGAACTTCATTAAGTTCTTTGCTCGTCAACGGACCTCCCTTTTGTACCTTGCAAAACTTGGAATAAACAAAAAGTATGTTAGAATTAATTACTTAGGTTATGCACATAAAAATACATTCAGTTAGGGAAAAATTTATTACTTAGGCCTATTTGTCAACTAGGATGCCTATTTCCTACATTTCTTGTCAAATGAACTCATTCTTTCTCATAACATGTCATTATTACTTAGTTATAGGCGCCTAGGGCTTGAAATCACATGAAAGGAACAATTCAAGTGTTTTAAGACGCATTTCTTACATTTCTTGTCAAAACACATGTTAAGAGCAAATAAACTAAGTCAATGGCATATCTCATCAAGCTGTAGTGTGTCTGCACAATGACTCACTATGTCAAACATGAATCTCATCACGTATAAGCCACAATCAACTCCGTTATCTTGTTGTGTGCACTAGCATAGGAACAAAGTACATGAATCAAACATGCATATATATAAAATTAGTAACTTTTTACGCATTGTTTATTACGAAAATCACAATATCATGTGGCATTACCATCGGTGATTTCCATGTGGGACCTTGAGGAACTCGACAATTTATCTTCTTCATAACACTATAGAAAAGGAAGGTCAAATTTGATTAGTATGACTAATAAATGAGTTAGGTAATGATAATCAACACTAGGTAGCTTTATTTACTTTTACAGTATGGACTTCACGAGGAGCTTTTTTGGATGAGGCAATTAAGCTGAATCAAAAAGGATGATTGTGTTACTGGAAACACAAATCATCAGCAGGGTCCAATGCAAACTACATAAATTCACAATAGACAAAGAAATTAATTATTAGCCATGTACAACATATAATCAGGGGAAACAAATGAATTTGACATGGTTAGACATACTCCTCATAACATGGGGCCAATATGAACTTGTCTCCCGCACGCACTGATTCCTTAATAATCCGTTCAACATAGTACAACACGTCAGGGTGGTTGCCTAAGATTCTAGTAGTGGATATCTGCTCGGGGGATAACCACCCAACTTGACACGAACAATCAATGTCACGTAAGTGCTCTTGTAGTGCTCTGCATGCATGATAATAGAATATTAATGGAAAAATAAACGACAATCACCGCTAATTTGAATAACATACTTTGAGCGGCATTGAATTACCTCATGAATGTTTGAATAAGGGAAATGTTAAGCATTGATCCACTTAGAAATTCTTTCACATCTTCTTTGCTAAGCCATGCAATTGCATCGTCATCATAGTGGAATAATGCCTTAGGTAGTGCAACTTAAACGGGAGTGTCACTAGGCAACATACTAACACGGTTGTGTAGATAAGTTAAATCTTTAGAGAGCGATTGAAGGACCGTGTCTGCAACAAGTGGAATAGCTTGCATAGCTAAACCTCTTGAAGAGTTCTTCTTTGACGCTTTTTCACTCTTCGATCGTTGTTCACTCCTCTTCTTTGGCACCAGTTGATCAATGCTTTTAGGCTGCTCCACCCTCCTTCTATTTGAAGTTTGGCTTTTCTTCGAAATCTGATACAACAAATCTCGTAATTGGTTAGAAAATAAATCCATCCAACTCTTGGGAAGACAACTGGGCATAAACTAAAGAGTGAACCGAAAATCTTACCTCTTTGATCAACCTTACCCAATCACATGGCCAGTGCACAAAGATACCTTTCGCTTCCCAGAGTGCAATAATCCCATCCTCCTCTACGGGCACCGGTACTGGGATGTACTCGAACCCCGCAACCACAGAATTGATCCCGACCGAGTAATGTTGGGGCCTAAGCGGTCGCGAATGGACCGTACCACTAGTCGGTTGTGCACTAGCATACGCAACCAACTGCAAAGGTCCACTGTTTGATAGCCCCGGGTGTAGAAGTGCACAACAGGTCTCTTCCTACACCAATTTGGAAGATCACTTAAAATTAAAAACCAAACATATCACAAGTGGCCAAGCATCCACCAACAATCAAACAAAACCGAAAACAAAACAAGCGAAGGCAAAAAACTTTTCTAGTTAACACCACAACACCGAACTCACCTACACAAATAAGCAACACACACAGCAGAGAGAAGCAGCCAAACAACACAGAAAACAGCAACACAGCATCGAGCAAACACAGACACATCAACACTTAAACAGAAAACGACAACATAGCATCCTGCAAACAACATCACAGAATCAGAAACAGCAGCATAGAAACAGCAAGACAGCAACAGCAGCATAGAAACAGCAACAGAAACAAAAATAGAAACAAAAACAGCAACAAAAACAGAAATAGCAACAACAGCAGAAACAGAAACAGAATCAGCAACAGCAAAAGCAGCATAGAAACAACAACAGAAGCACAGAAACAGAAACAGCAACAGAAACAGAAGCAGTAGAAATAGAAACGGAAACAGCAACAACAACATAGAAACAGCAACAGCAGCACAGAAACAGCAGCAGCAGCAGCACAGAAACATCAACACAGCAACAACAGACACCTCAGCACAGCACAACAGACAACAGACGGCACAGCAGCATAGCAGACAACACAGCAGAATAGTAGTAGACAGCACAACACAGAAACAGAAACAGAAACAGAAACAGTAGCACGAATGATAGCAGATAGGCAGATCAGAAGCAGACAGCAGGCAAACACAGCTCAAAGCTCACATCAGATCACATCAGACACAACTCACTGTAGATCACAGCTTACAGCAGATCAGAAGCAGACAGCAGGCAGACACAGCTCACAGCTCACAGTAGGCAGACACAGCTCACAGAAACAGAAACAACAGACACAGAAACAGCACAACAGACACAGAAACAATAACAGAAACAGACAGTAGACACAGAAACAGCAATAGAAACAACATAACAGCAAGTAGCCAGCACAACAACATAGAAACAACAAGCAGCACAACAACACTTAAACAACACGTAACATAGCAACACAGAAACAGCAAGCAACACAGCAGATCAGAAACAACACAGCAGCATAGCAAAATAGAAACAGCAAGCACAATAGAAACTTACAAAGAACTAAACAAATTACCTGTAACTCTGGAAAGTGAACCGGTGTTGGAGTATGAAGCTCCCTCGAGTCCGCATGTGTAGGAGTACGAACTTGCAATAGTAAGTCAATAATGCCACGTTAGATCTCACGTAAATCAATATGCCAAAACTAATAGATCTGAAAATACCTCATCATCGTCTCCATGTATCTCATCATCGTCTCCTTGTATCTCATTTTATCCTTGTCCTTGTGGGTGACTACATGAGTCGACCAGTGTAGTCGAGGGGAAAGGCAAGCCCGGCAAGTTCAGTTTCTTCGCCCAAGCATTGAATTCTTCTCGCGTCTCGTTGCGTACTTGTTCCTTAATTGATGCCACCGTGGCATCCAAGTCAACCGGTGAGTTCACACTTGCTCGGAATCTTCTTGATTTGGTATATTCTGGACCCATTACCTTTTCCCATCCCAGCAAGGTCCCTCCCGCATCTAATACTCGTTCTGGATGGTAGGGCTTTCCCAAAGCTAAGGTGAAAGGGTCCTTCTTTACTGTTGGGACGAGCTTGCCTTCAACTAGTTCTTCAGTGTACTCAAGCTGTAGAAAAAACAAAAAGGCAACATGAATATAGTTAATGTTTATGCTAAAGCTTCAAAAAGTTCACTAGTTCATAGTTGCTTACGAGTTTATCTGCCATTTCTTTGGTTTTGGGAGCGTTGATGACCCATTTTCCGGTTTTCTTGTCATGCGAATGCAGAGAACAAATGAAATCGCCAGCACGACTCATCAACGTAGTGGTCGTGGAATCATAGGCTTCTTTGGAGGACCCTAGAAGCGCAGTGGGGTATACTCCCTCCTTCACCCATGTTTCCCTCCATTCACCAAATGTTTTAGGCCCCATACGATGGGTGTATTGCCTCTACAATGCATTTTTGGAATTTTGCTCCCTCAGTTCCAACATAATTACACATGTTAGTATCATTACTTAAGAAAGAGTTAATATATTATACAATTGTCATCAGATTTACTTAAACTTACAATTGCTTCCTTTTTACTTTTTTGAAGAACGAAAGCTTCCCAACCACATCCGCCTGTAAAGAATCAAGTGTACAAGGATCAAGCACTTTGCTGCATATTGTATTGAAAAACGAACAGAGGCTTGTAATAGCTTCCCTCACGTGCTTTGGTAAAATACCACGTATTGTAATTGGTAGGAATACTTGCATCAGAACATGACAATCGTGGGATTTCATACTTGTCAGCTTCAATTCTCCATTCAAGGATACAAATCTTTTCATGTTAGATGCATACCCTGATGGAACCTTAATGTTGTACAGACATG